TTCGACCCAATCTAATAAGGCGGCAAAGAGTCTTCCATTTCCCTCAGAAATCTTCATAAAATTCTTCAATGGCTGCCTTTCCCTCCATTCGCTTCTTCGCTCTTTCCAGGTTTTCTTCTTTCCCTTTTTATAATCCCCCCCCCCCCCCCTTTTTACCTAATGCCTTAAAGATCTGTTCTTTTGTTCGTTTTAGTTCGCAAAAGTTTTGTTAAAACCCTAAATCTATGTGGGTATCAGATTTTTTTCTGTTGCTTGTGTAAATGTGAGAGGTAACTGAGTGATTTTTGGAATTTGGGGTTTTTACTTTTAGGTTATAGCGTAGCCTGATAGGGTGATTCTATGGCAAAGGAGGAGGAATCGGGGCAGCTGAGGAGGGCGGCCATTGATGCTGCAGCTGGTGCAATTGCTGGTGGTATTTCGCGGACGGTGACATCGCCTCTTGATGTTATCAAGATCAGATTCCAGGTCATTTTATGTCTTAATTTATTTACTATTTCAGGAAAAATTAGGATAAAAGAAAAAAAGAAGAAAAACAAAACAGTGGATTATGAATTCTCATGATGATTTTGACTGGCCAAACTGTGTGCAACTGTGCATTGTCCAATGGTTGATCTTAAGGCTTATGTTTTGTGAAGATGGATTTAGAATTCATAGTGCCTGTCTGTCTGAAATTTATAATTGGTTATTTCCAGGACGTTCAATTCACTTGAAATGGAAATTATAGTTGGGGTTTGGGAGTCAGCTGTGGCATGTCTGATACAGGCATGAAACTTGCACCCCCTTTAGTGCGTACACAACTAACCCTACTTTTTCTGCGCAATCATAGATCTGATATCAAATTTCTTTTGTAGAAACTGTGATATTGCCATCTAGGAACTGCAGTGTTGATTTTTGACTGTAAAGCATGTTTATTTTTTGACATATTAGTATATGATGATAGCTGCCTCATTGGAGGTCAAATTTAGTTTTCAAAATAGGCAGTTTTGACAATGGGGTTTTGCTGGTTAGAGGGGTAGGTTGAGAGCTGTTTACTTCTTTAAGTTATATCTGATGATTTCATCAGTTAGTGTTGATACAAGGTTATGAGGGACTTAGTTAGACAATGAGGAGAAGTTCTATTACTTGTTGTCAGTGGGGTGAAACAGGGAAAGGTACAAGGTTTTCTTGAAGGAAGGGAAGTTTTGATGGATGAAACCTTCATTTCATATGCATGCATGTGAATATTTCATACTTGCATGAACAAGTGTGATTTAAATAGTGCATAGTATAATTAAGAAAAGATAATTAAGAGAAGATATTCCTTATTAATATTTGCAGGTTCAATTAGAGCCAACAACTTCATGGGCTTTGGTACGTGCAAATATGTCTACAGCCTCAAAATATACTGGAATGTTGCAAGCAACCAAGGATATATTCAGAGAAGAAGGTCTACTGGTATGCAGCCTAATCTGTGATGGATTTCTGAGTTTTTGTTCTTTAAAATATTAATAGGCATGTTGCATGATTTATTTGCATGTAAAATTTATATTATTTGTTGCCTTGTGACTTGGCATAAGATTTTGATACATACAACTATACAAAGTAATATTGGCATACACTGGATTTAGAACTATTCCATTTGACTTAGTCTATAAAGATATTGATTTATCTAACCTTCCAATTCCACTTTTTGACAACAAAGCACCTTAGTTGTTTTAATTGGTTACGTGTAGTCCTGGTTCATGCATTTTTGCTTCTTGTTGAATTATCATTATGCTTATGTGAAGGAGATTTTTAACATTTTTTTATCTCCCATTTTGACAACAAGGGAGAGAAGAAAGTACCAAATTTAGGAGGATTAACTGGCCACCAAAGTACATGGATCATTTCCATAGACTTTAATAAATCATTGCCTTGAAAATTGCAGTGCTAGGTTCATTTCCATTTTGCAAGCATCACCTTTCTGATTGCAATGCTTAGCTCATTCTATAGTTCATATTCCATGTGAATTGAGTAATGGGTAAAGCCTTCAATCCCCATATTTGCCTACCTTCACAGACCCCACCCAGTAGGGCCCAAACACTCTCCTATGCCCCACGCTCCATTCTGCCACCAAACAGGAAATTCACATTTTTTGATCCAAAGGTCTATACTAACTTATAAAACATGATGACAGTTCGTTTTATGATAATTTTTTTTCCTAGACTTCCATATAAGTAATTTGAAGGTTTTGTTCAGTTGATTTAATTTGAGATGGTTGCTTCTAACAGGGCTTTTGGCGTGGCAATGTACCAGCATTGCTCATGGTTATGCCATATACTGCCATACAATTTGTTGTCCTACAAAAATTGAAAACATTTGCTTCTGGTTCTTCCAGAACAGGTAAATAACAGAGTACAATGCCTTCCTTTAAGCACCAGTTGAGGTGACAATTTGTTCTTATTGTATGAATCATACAAGTTGGTTTCGGCTGGGCACTTTAATTGTTGGTTTAATGGGAGCTAAAAGAATCACCTCAGATTGTGTGACCATGTCTTATTGTTTCACATAAATTTATGGTATTGACGGTTGCCAGTTGATTACATATTTTGAATCTAGTATTGCATCTCTGCTGCATCATGATGATCTTACTCCACCTCTGTCAAATCAGATTTCAAATTTCTGTTTGTATTGATTCATAACTTTAAATCATATAGCTCATTCCATGGCCTGGTTTTATCTTGATGCAGAGGATCACTATAAGTTGAGTCCATATCTATCTTACATCAGTGGTGGGTTGGCAGGGTGTGCAGCTACAATTGGGTCTTATCCATTTGATCTTCTAAGGACCATATTAGCTTCACAAGGTGAACCTAAGGTATAACATTCAACTAACATTGTGGCCTTGTTTTCTAGACTGACTTAGTCAGCATTGACTAGGACATTAATTCCTTGCATGGTTAAGTGCCCATTACATTACCTCTTCAAGACCTTTTTTATTGTATCTTTTAACTCACTGAGTAACACCTATGGAAATCAAAAGGATAAGAACTCTTTTGTCGAGATAATTTTGGAGTGATTTTTATGTTGGACATATCTAGGAGGCTTCTTATTCACCATATCTATTACTGTTTTGAAGATCTTGTGCAAGATATTGAGGTCCTGCCTATGAGGGTCTTCAACTAAACTGATCTTCTGCATTATTGCTTTTCATGGTTAATGTTGTATAGCTGCCATGTGATATCAACCGATAAGCTTTTGGTTAGATTTGGTTCTAACATGAAATGCATTCTGGTGCTTGTTATCTGCAAAGGCATTAATTGTTGAAGGCTATATGTAGGTCTACCCTAACATGAGAGCTGCGTTCCTTGATATAATCAGAGCTCGTGGCTTCAGAGGATTGTATGCTGGCTTGTCTCCTACACTGGTTGAGATTGTTCCTTATGCTGGCCTGCAGTTTGGAACCTATGACACATTTAAGCGGTGGGCTATGGTAAGGTTTTTGTTCTCTCATTTTAATCCTTGACTAACCCTTTATATGCAACTTAGCTCTCCGACATATTTTATAATGAAGAATTTAAGATAAGGAAAACTGAAATTTGTAGCCTGTATTGCCTGATCATGAATTTTGTAGAATAGTAGGTAAAATGCAAATACTTTATGATGGATCTTGTGGTTCTGATATTACATTGCTGATTACTCCAGGAATATTTATATCTGCACATATAGGCCCCTCCTGTACTTGCAGCTTGTTTTAAAATCTTGAATATCTTTTTGAGCACTTCATCAGGCCCTGGTTGAGGGTTTTCTTTTTAAATCATACCTACCAAAAAAGAAAAGAGGAAAAAACTGGAATATTGGGAATCACTGGTTTAAAAGGTTTTGTAATAATTTTCTGAATTTGTGCTGGTTTATGGCCTTGCCTTGTATTCTATTCTGATCATCATAGGCCTGGAACAAATTGAGATATTCAGAAACAAACTCAAGAGATGCAGATGTTAATCCTTCAAGCTTTCAACTTTTCCTCTGTGGATTAGCTTCTGGAACATGTGCCAAACTTGTGTGCCATCCACTTGATGTTGTCAAGAAAAGGTTTCAGGTAAATTTCAGGAATCCATGAATTATCAGTTGGTTAAGGTTAATGTTAGGATTCATTAATTGTCAGAACTACTGTTCATGTTGTAAGTTGTTTCTATTACTACTCTATAATGTCAAACTTTCTTGTTTTGGCCATCACAGATTGAGGGATTGCAGAGACACCCCAAGTATGGTGCTCGGGTTGAACATCGTGCCTACAAGAACATGTCTGATGCCTGTAGGCGAATCCTGCAGTCAGAGGGTTGGGCTGGACTTTATAAGGGCATCATCCCATCAACTGTCAAGGCTGCACCTGCCGGAGCAGTGACATTTGTGGCTTATGAAGCCGTATTAGATTGGTTAGATTCCACATTTTGACTCTAACCTGATCCGGTTTTCATTTTTGGCCTTTTCCCGTTTTATCTACCAATTAGATATAGATTAATCTCATTCTTTTAGCCATGAATATTGATGTGAAAAAATGCCCAAGCATGGGAACGTAGAGGGGCGCCACCATATATGTAGTTGTACTTGGTTTTTTGTGATTATGGAGGACAGGTTTCACAGGAAGTTCACAGATTCAGGAAATACAGAATTTGGGAATAATGGTTCAAAATGTAAAGCACGTTTTGTTGCACAATTCAAGAAGAGCAATATTCACAACCAGACCAAACAAATATTTGTCAATCTTTTTTCTTTAAAGAATGCTCTTTTACTTTAATTTTTGGAAAAATTCAGGAATTTAGAGTAGCTCAAAACCTCCAAATCCACCTCTAAAGAAAGTGAGTAGGGCAGATTCATCTCTTAAAAAAATGTAAGGGTAAATTTAGTAAAATTATTTTTTTAATGGATTTTGTTTGTCATATAATCATTTTTTAATGAAAAGTTGATAAAATTTATTAGGAAATAAGTAATTTGTTTTGATTTATAATTTGAAGAAATAATTTATCTCTATATTTTTTTAATAAATGAATTTATCTTTTTAAGGGATGGATTTAGGAGTTTTATCACTTATATTACACATCTGCACACACACTATAAAAAATAAAAAATAAAAAACAGAACCAAAAACATGTATTCCTAACATTGGCTTTCTATCGGCCCAAAAAAAAAAACATTGGCTTTATAAAATTCAAGAAAGATATCACAAAATTCAGACTCTAGTCCGAAATTCTTGTTTTATTTAACAGCGCACAAAATATGGTTTGTGTGAACAAATGACATCAAAGTGTCTTCATTGGCAGTTTTTCTGTTTAGAGCTGTCTTCCGGAGGCAGAGACAGAAATTGTATGATCCTTTGGACCTGTGCAACGTCAATTCTGAACCTTTCTGCGATCTGGTGAACGTCCATGGGTCCATCATGATCATCAGCCTTGCCCTGATGCAGAAGCATGATGTGGCGTAGCTGTGCCACATTTAAGGTTCCAGGGAGAGTAGACCTTTCTTCATACCCCGAATCTGGTTTTGTATTCCGCAATTTGGGCAGTGGCCTGTTGTACTTTTCCACCACGGCAGCCTGTAACATCAACCAAGAGAATTTTATTAGCATAGGAGAAGCTACTCATGAGTGATGGGAAAAGCAAGTAATCTACAAAAACAATCATCAAGCAAAGAGCATAAGTTGTTAAACGAAAGCAAGAAAACGACATACACACCAGCATTCAAAGAAAGAGATGAGAAATAAAGATCAAACCACTAGGACCAGGATCAGATTAAAACCACTTAATTTATGTACAAAAGAAAAAAAATTGGAGAACCATAGAATGACAGGCGAGAATTTGTTTGACTTCAGCACTCAGTCATCTATGTTAAATTTATTCCATGACCATTGCATGTTTGGTTGAGGGTTGGAAAAGGTTCAACATATCTACAATACATTTCCCCTAGGTTGGACAATGCAACTTCTTTACATACCAAAAACTTGTGTTTGGTGGATTTGGCACTAGAAGTTAAATCTAACCTAAGCAACATAGCCAACAATCAGAACGATCAATAGGTGGACAATCTAGCCTGTCTTTCTAAACAGGATAGAAACATTTGAAATTGAAAAGGAAGAAATTTGTAAAGAACAGATGAAATTTGATCGATGTGGCACTAGAAGTTGAAAGCCTAAGCAACATAGATGAAAATCAGGATGATCGACAGAAGCACAATCGAACTTGTCTTTCTCAACATTAATGGAGAGATATTGGACTTTGGAAAAAGGGAAAAAAAAAAAAGGATCTGTGTAAATAACAGATGAAAATTTCAACTTGCCTCACCCATCTCAGGTCTTCCTCCAGACTTTGATGTAATTCTGCCAACCATCTGACTTAGCATGGCATCATACTTTGGATCTCGTTCTTCCAGGACATTGTCCGGATTGGCTCTTGAGGTACCTTCTAAAACCCAAGAAATTTAACCAACAATCATGATGTATAAAATGCTCCATTGATCAGCTTAATGCTACTCTTAGCAAAAGCTTACTATTTGACATTTTTTAAACCAACTTTTACAATCTCCTTTACATCAAATCACTTCATTTCCATGCAATTAATTGTTATCAAGTTATCAACACACAAGCATCATGTGCTTTTCATATTATAAACTGATTGACCATTCGAAATGCCAAATATTATATTTTCTACAGTTCTTTTCACAACATAAGATTGATGCTGCTCGCTTTCAGAAACAAAAAAGGGGTAAATTTAGTACTGATAATGTCATACAGAGTTTGTACAATTTACTAAAATAGCATTCAAAATCCCTAGATTCAATTACGCTGCAACTACCCACTCTACCTTAGAAAAATTCCCAACAAATCCACAAATACAGTATCAAGCAGTGAAAGTAATGAAAAGAAATCACATTCTGCTAAGAGCACATAATGGACATTCTAAAAAGCTTGAGGTGTTGCATAGAAACAAACTTGCATAAAAGTTCCCAACTTTCCACATAAATTCATATCACTAGCTTACCGAGACCAAGATTATCGTATTGGGTAGCTCTGGAGACCTTCTGCTCGTCGGTGGGGCCGAACGGTGTCTTGGGTTTGGACGGCGGAGATGGTCCGACAGCACGAATCCTTCCAGATGCTCGACGAAATGCCTGACCCATCACTCCCAGCAATCTCCGCTGCTTTCACTGAAATTTGGAACTTCGGCTTTACAATTAATACAAATCACAGGGCAATCTTGTTCATTTCTCTCCTGGAAAAACCCTAAAAAGAGCTGAAGTTCTGAAACTTTGAGGTTTGGGGAGAGAGAAGAAGATGCTTGGTATTGTGGAGAACACGCGCCGAATAAATGTTTCCGAGTCGTTAGGGAAGGAAATATTGCCACGTGGTGTAGTTTTAGCTTTCCACGACTTTTTTTTTTTTCCCAAGAATATGAAATTTGTGTCTTAAAATATTTTAAGAGAGTGTTTTTGTTGAACCTGGTCGAGTGGGAAGTGGTCTCCGAACCAACGGTTCAATTCGATCTCATAAGTGTTACAAAAAAATAAAAAAAGTTTTTGTTATAAATTAGTTAATGATGCCCCTCCATGGATTCGCCTATAATTTTCAGAAATCATTTTCTAACAAATCAAATGGACCCTAAGAAGAGAGAGAGAAATATTGATGTTGGTGTTGTCTTCTCGGTTGGGCAAAGGTGATTTTGTTGATAAAATAAATAAAATACTTTTTATTCGTGATCTAGTTGTTTAGTGAATAAAAAAAATTGTGAAAATTTAACTAGGTTGTGGTTATTTGTTTATTGGGTAGATTTTTTTTTTTAACAGATTGTAATTATTTAAATAATATAAAAAAATTTCGTAAAACTTAAACATGAAACTTACATGAAATTAATGGTTTTAATTAAAAAGTTCAATACCACTGAATTGAAATAGACCATTTTATTGGGTAGATGTTTAGTTTGTTAGAAAAATAAATAAAATATTTTTTTGTTGATGATCTAGTTGTTTGGTTAATGAGAAAAGGGAGGAAAATTATCTTTTAACAATTATGAATGAAAATCATGTTGGTGAATTATTGTAAAACAAATAAAAAAAAATTACTATTATTAAAATTAAAAGTAATCCGATGTAACTTTAAAAGGGGCATTTGTTCATACAAATAATTATTTATCTCTAATATCCAACAATATTTTCTAATTAAGTCAGGCGAACATAATTGGACTCAAATATATCACATCCGTCCTATTTAATCCAAGACAATCATATCTTATAAATTTTACTCAATCCAACCAATCCCGTGCTCCAAACTGGCCCTAAGATTTTTCCTTCGTCTCAATATTGGCAGAGTTCTGCTTTGAGAGTTTTTAGAAAAAAGCAAAAATTAAAAGAGAGTTAATTTTGACTTTCCTGCGTTTAAGGGGAGCAAAACAGAAATTTAGAATTGTTTTAATGGTGGATGGGATGGTTGAGGTGGGGTGCCGGAGGTGGTAATGGATCTGCCTTCTCTTCGTTAGAAAATGCTGTGTTAGCATGCGCTGCTTCAATGTAATGGCATCCGTTACAGTGGTTGTGGTCAGGCGCTGCAGGCCTGAAGTCATCAACATGGCGTGCCGGTGGGGGCTCGGATGCTCCAATCGCTGCGGCTGGTGGTGAAGACGACTGTACGTCAGCCGCATGAAAGCTACGCTCGCGCTCAATACCCTTTTCGGCTGCAGGCCAGAACTCATCAACATGGCGTGCCGGTGGGAGCTCGGATGCTCCAACCTTGACAGCTGGTGGTGGAGACTGCACGTAAACAGCATGAAAGATACTCTCGCCCTTAATACCCTTTTCTGTTTCTCTGGCAAGAAATCTTTTATGGGTATTGGGTTTTTCTGAGAGAAACTTCAAATGCCTTCCCTCAACGGACTGGACTTCTGGTACGAATATGAGGGCAAGGAAGATAAAAACTGCAGAGAAAAGTTTGTTTTGGGCCATGGTAAGTAGTTCTGATGAGAAGTTGGAGATGATTAGTAGGAGATGATAGAAAGACAGAGGAGAGAGCAACTAATGAAGGAAAGAAATAGCTTACTTGAAAGTCGAAAGAAGGTATTGTTTTGGCTCATCGGTCGGTGCCCCCGTTTTTATATATTTTTTTAAGGTGGTGTTACAAGGATGTTTTTTTTTTTTTTAAAATAAAATTTTTATATATTATTAAATTAATAAATATATTTAATATTACATGATACTCTTTTTATTTTGGATTTGCAACATAACCACGTGATCGGGTCGGAGGTCGGTGGGAGTTTTGATTTTTATTTCTTTTTTTTAAAAAAACAGAATATAACGATAAATTGTGATCTAAAATTTTCTTTTTTGCTTTTTTTTTTTCTTAAATAAAGGGGAATGACCGTAGGCGAGGGAAACCAAATGAGGGTGGGGCACAACTGCTTTGGAAGGTCACGTGACATTCTTTGCTTTTGGTGGGTTGTTTAATGAACCAACATTGCCATATTTACAATGAGATTATAAACCTATAAATATAACTTTTTTTTTTCATAAATATAATTTATTATTAAGTAAATATAATATGTTATTAAATTAAAAAAGTAGGTATCAATTTATAATATAAAAAATTAAGTAAAAAATTTAAAAAGTAAGTTATTTTAATAAAATTTCATTAAAAATTATAATATTTTAATTTCTTAAATAAGAATGAGATTATTTTAATTTTATATCATGATTTTATTAAAATAACATAATTTTGAAATTATTTTTTGTAATATAAATTAATTTATTATTAGATAAATAAATAATATAAATAATATAATAATATATTATATTGTAACCTTTTAATACTATATAATATTATAATAACTATCATTTTCATTTTCATTTACATTTTCATTTTCGTTAAAAACCTTTAAGACATAAGAAGTGCTAAGGCTAAACAGATACACTCGTGCCCGTCAGTCGGGTAACCTTACCATAAAATATATAATTTCTATTTTAAATTTATTTTTTATATTAATAATAATATTATTTACTCTAAAAAATATAATATAATTACATTTGATAGATAAATAGTAAAGAGTAATAATATCTAATAAATCAAACAAATAATAATAAATGAGAAAAAAATTATAAGTCTATTTATCATTGAATTAAAAGAATACATTTAAGTTTTACATAATGTAAGAGAAATATAAAGAACCTATGTCAAAAATATTTTGAAAATTTTCTTTTAGACAAAATTTACGCAACCTTTCTTTACATAATATCCGCATTGTTATTCAAAATAACTATCACCAATAAAATCAAAAATTTAAAACTTTTTATTGTTATAATCTTTTAAAGTTCTTAAAAAGGATGCCCTCCAAAAAATTATTTTAAGTCTTCAAATTTTCCTTTAGATCTTCTAAAAAACAGGATTCTTTGGTACATTGGCTAGTTGAGTGGTGTAATGGTTATATTATATTTTATACAATATTAAATCTATTAATGAATGGACAAAATATTATCTAGCAAAAGAAATAAAAGCATACAAAAGTTTCCATTCACAGCCAAAATAGAATTAAAATAGGTGGAACAACTAATACTTTATTCCAAGTTTCCATTCATAGCCAAAATCAAAACCATACAAAAGTAAAAAATCAATCCCACCTCTCATTAAGGACATTATTCCAAAAACAATAGAAAAAAAGAAAAAAATCAAACAAAGAAAACCAAAGAAGGAAAGGCATATAAAAAATAAAAAGCGTCGAAAGGATCCCACCTCTCATCTTGCTTCCTCTGCCTTGAACCTCTCAAAAATCTTCTAAGAAAAAGAGAAACAAAAGAGGAACCATACCAAAAGGAGAGCAGAAACCAAGGCATATTTGCCTTGAAACTCTCAAAAATCCTCTAAGAAAAAGAGAAACAGAAGAGGAGCCATACCAAAAGAAGAGTAGAAAACAAGGCACCTTTGCCTTAAATCTCTCAAAAATCTTCTAAGAGAAACAAAAGAAAAGAGGAGTCTTCTAAGAGAAACAAACAAGGAATCTTACTGAAAGGAAAGCAAAAACCAAGACACATCTGCTTTTGAATCTCTCAAAAATCCTCTAAGATAAAGAAAAATTTTGTTGTATCTCTGGGATACCTCCGATGTGGTATCTTGGGTCAACAAAAACATTTCATCTTTGTTTTTTTTGCCAAATGATTGATGATATGTGAAAAAAAATATTGAGATGATGTATTTATATTGGTTCGAGATACAACATCAATGGTATATACAACATCAGTGGTATATACAACATCAGTGGTATCCCCAAGATACAACATCCGTGGTATCCCTGGGATACAACGGAAGGTTTTTTAAGATAAAGAGAAACAAAAGAGGAACCAAAGGAGAGCAGAAATCAGGACACTTCTTCCTTAAACCTCTCAAAAATTCTTTAAGGAAAAGAGAAACAAAAGAGGAACCATATCGAAAGGAAGGCAGAAACCAAAACACACAAATATGTTTGTTAATTAATTGATAGAAATTACCAACGCAGAAATTACCAATAACAGATAAGATTGGAGGTTTTCCAGCCTCTAAGAGATACGGTCTACTAGAAACAGAAGTTTTTCTCCATCCATAAGCTCAGCTTGCATTCTAAAGAAGTAATGAATCGAAAACTACCAAAGACAAGTAAATTCAAGAGGTATTTATATGCTAGAACTCATCACATAGGATATATAGCAATAAAAATCCCAAAATTTCTTAACATGAGAATAAGAAAAACATGACTAAATAATTCTAAGAAAGGTCATCATATCCCATAAAAATGAAGTAATTAGTTTCAACTTCTTTGATTTCTCTTTTAAATTTCTTTGACAATGATACAAAGAGCTAACAAAACAGTTTGTTTCATTCTTTTACCTTAAAATAGTAAGATCCACATTTTTTCCCCCTAAGAAATGAATCAGAGTCTTTAAAATTGCTTTTGTAGGCTGAGAGTTCAAACTACTTGTTGAAAGTTAAAAAAATAAATAAAAGACCATCGTTTACAAAAACTCTTGAATTAAATAATAATAATAATAACAATAATAATAATAGTTGACATTAATTTAGGCAGATCCTTTTTTTTTTATTGTATAATTACTAAAAATATAGAAAACAATAATTAAAATTCATTAAAACATATCAAATTAACATTTTTAGTAGTGTAAAGTGTAGAAAAATGATTTGTAATCCTAAAACTAACCTAAAGATTGTTTTCTTCAAATATACATTCAGAGCAAAGAAGTTAACATGTGTTCTTATGGAAATATCAAAATTTTCTTATAATTAAACACCAAACAAAAAATAATGAGTAAAACTACTTCATAATCACGTTTGAATTTTGTAAGGATTAAGGTAGTATCTTTTGTCAATTATTATGTTTGTTATTAACTCTTGTGCTTGATTCACAGCGAGGGAAGCACAAAATTCATTGGACTTTAACAATTCCTTGGAACAATTAGTTTTCAAAGGTTTTGTTCCATTAATATCAACTTGCTCAAACCAGATTCTGGCCCTATAATAGCAATTTTTTTTTTTTTGATAAAACATAAAAACTAAAATAAAATAAACATTAAGAAAACAATTGTTTATATAAAATTGAACCCCAAATTATAAAAAAGGATACGGAAAATGAAATTATATGTAGCAGGGATTTATCAAGGAAACAAATCCTAGGATTCTCCATTACTACATGACCCCAAATCCTTCTTTTAATTATTGTGTATGCTAGGATAGTACTACAGCAAGATTTGTATACACGTTCACTATGTTCACATCAACAAAGTATCAAAATTCATTTATTTTGCTACCTTTTATAGGGTGGCTCAATGCACAAGAATTAAAAACAAATTTGGCTCAAGAAACCAGAAATATTAAATCAAACCCATATTACAAAAATAAATAAATTAATTAAAATATTTGTACCTCAAATTCACCAAACATGACGACTCAAAACCCAGAATCGAAAATGAAAACGGGTCAGGAAACCCATCCAAAAACAAAATCTACCAACAAAAAATGGTTGGCCTAGCAGTGGCATCTGGAAATGAGTTTGAAATTAGGACAAGGGACAGGGCCAAAGGCGGTGGACTTTATGAAGGGTTGGTGGGAGAGAATGAGTGGTGAAGAAGGGATTAAGGGAAGCAATACAGAAAACTGAAAAAAAAAAAGGGGACAAGTTTAAGTAAGAAAGGATTATAAAATTAACTTTTTTGGAGCAACAGATGTGAGTTAATGGAAGCAATTGAAAAGTGACCAAAATCTGAAATCTCCTTGCCCAGATTCATTTGGAAATTGGAACATAAAGGAAAAGGGAAGAGATTTTGAATTTCATTGGTTGAATTGAGGAACAATAAAATAGTTAAACAGTTACCAATCAAGAGTAAGAGGAAGAATACGCAGAATATCTTTCCAAAAGAAGAAAGATAGACCACGTGTAAAAAATGTTTAAATCTAAAAAGCTCTATAAAATTAACACATGTCAAACTTATCTTAAAAATTAAAAGTCAATTTTTATTTTTTTAATATGTAAATTTATAATAAAAATATGTATTTATTACATTTTTAATTTATATTTTTTAAGATATAAGTTAAAACAAAAACTTTTAAAGACTCTTTTTTTTCATAAATATAAGAATTGCAAAAACTTAATATATCTTAATATTTAAAATATCAAGAATAATAACAAAAACAAATAAATATTTTTAATGAATCATGTAAATATTTAAATAATTTTATGAGTTTTAATTTTACTTTTCTCATAAAAATAAGAAATTTCATGAAAATAAAAGTAAATTTACAAAATTGTAGTGATTGCTCACATACAACATTTTATTGAAAAAATATGATTTTTTTTTCTTTATTATGTTCGGGAAAAAGAAATTAAAGATACCAGCCAGTATATATTAGCCCTAGCCCAAGCCCAATCGATTTTTTTTGAACCTACAGAAAATTCAAGCCCAATAAATGTTTAGGCCCATGAATCTATAGTTCTAAATCTTATATATTATGTGTGAGACCAAGTAATAATGAACTTAAAATACATTAATTATGGTATAAGTTTAAAAGACAACCACATGTACCACATGTACCGCTTATGGCGGTCTAACCTGACTTATCATTCTCGTTCTTAATCGCTCAAGGGTGTGACGTCAACCAACTTTATATCTCTGGTTCCCATCAATCAAATTTTGACACGTGACAAAAAGATGAATTCATTCTCGTTTGTAGTCATGGTTTCAATAATCCCAACTTTTAATAACAAATCAATTTGCTTTGTTTTCATATATGCTTAATACACATATCACATTATAATATTTTGTTGATTTCAAATGATTCTTAATGTCTTCTAAGTATCATTTCAGTATAGATAGTGCATGCTATAGAAACAACCTTTTTATATTATTTTTTTATATAACTTTCACATGTTATTAAATGAATAGATGCATTCAATATCATAAGATTCATATGAATATAAAAAAATCAACCATATAAATAACATGTCAAGTTGTACAAAAAAATAAAATAAAAAAGTTGCGCCAAAATTATTTCTCTTTCAATATCATGGAAAATGTCCAAAGTGAAAACCCCAGATATCATAATTATAGGCAAAATACAAGAAATGATGTTTGTGAGTTCCTCCGTTTTTGGACCCCATGAAAGGTGAATGTGCACTCAATTCTCCATAAACAAATCTTCTTGGCCAATGATTTAGGATCCCACACCATTCAAAGTTCAAACCTACTCATTCTTATCCCATGCATCCTACAAATCCAACATCTTATATTTAACCAATTCCACCCCTCCAATATCCCACGCCAGTTCCATCCATTTACCCTTCACAATGGACCTTCACCTTTCTTATCGCATAACAGACCAAGACATAGTGAAAGAAGAGCCAGTGAAACTGTTTTCTCCCCAGAATCCCACCCCAGAGGAAACAATTTTCCTGTCCAATATAGACCAAGCAGTGACTTTCCCAGTTGAAACACTCTACTTCTTTGAAGTCCCCCCAAGTAAGAGCTCCTCAACATTGGGAATCTCTGAAAAAGTGAAGCAGGCAGTGGCTGATGTGCTTCTTGTGCCTTACTATTTCATGGCTGGCAGGCTCAACTTAGACCCACAAACTAAAAGATTGCAGCTGCTCTGCAACAATGCTGGGGTTCTGTTTGTGTCTGCAAAATCAAGGCTCATGTTGAGGGATCTGGGTGACCTTACTCTCCCAAATTCTTCATTTCGTCTTCTCGTCCATGGCCCTGGCCTGTACAAAAGTCTAGACATCACAGCACTTTTCACTACACAGGTGAGTTACTCTCTCCTAATCAAGTTTTTAAAGCAAGGTGCCAAGTACTAGCATCAGCTTAGCCAAGTTGGTGCCACTAACTTCAATGGTAGTTCAGATACTTGCAATGGCTAAACACTAACATTAAAAAATATAGTTTCAGGGCATGGATTTGTAAAGATATTCCATGTTTTATATAAGTGTTTTTTGGTTCATTTTGCAGGTAACAAGGTTTGCTTGTGGAGGTTTTTCAATTGGGTTTGTGACAAATCATGGTATTCTTGATGGGAAATCAGCTGGTGAGATGTTTGAGAACCTTGCTTCTGTTTGCAGAGGTGAAGGGCTAAGAACACAAGTCATCTACAATGACCGAACAAGTTTAAAAGCAAGAAATCCACCAGTAATCAGATATCCACATAAGGAATATTTAAAATTAAAAGATGTTTCATCCCTTGCCTCATGTTTCACTGCACCAGGACAATCCTCTCCATCTCCATTGATTTTCTCCAATAAGTATGTCCACAAACTGTTCTATTTTACTCCTGAAATGATCACCGCACTCAAAAAGAAAGCAATTACTAGGTGCTCAAGCTTTGAGGCCATGACAGCTCATGTTTGGAGAGCAAGAGCAAGTGCAATATTCTCAAACCAAGACGACTTTTCTACAGTTCTTTTTGCAGTGGACATAAGGTCTAAGATTTCACCACCTTTGCCAAATGGGTTTGCAGGAAATGCTGTTGTCACAGCATTTGCTAGCGCAAAAGTGGTTGATATGGTTGAGAAGCCATTTTCCTTCTGTGTTGAGAAGATTAAGGAAGCTAGAGAAAGACTGACAGATGATTATGTAAAGTCAGTGATAGACTGGTTGGAGGTGTACAGAGGGGTTCCAGCCACTTGTAATGGGACTTTCTATGTGTCTGCCTGGTGGAAACTGCCATTCAATGAACTAGATTTTGGATTTGGGAAGCCTGTTCATGGAGGGCCAGTTGTGAGTGGGAATGATGAATTTGTGCTCTTTCTTTCTGACAGAAAGAGTGGAAATCAAAATGGTGGTGGGATTAATGTGTGGTTAGGTCTTGAAAAAGAGAATATGGAGAGGCTAATGGTTTACATTACTGAAATATGACATCTAAGTTCTCCAGGAATTCAGACTGAGAACTGTCTATTGTCATTGTAACAACCTGACTCAATCAAAAGCAAATATTCATGGATCTTCAATAAAAAATCAAACCTTTCCATCACCATGAATATGGAATATTTGTACCTTTGAGGCCGATCAACTCAAATGGCTTTTCTTGTGCATGTTGTCTGATGTTATCGGAACATAAAGTGATGAGGAAACTGCCTTTTTCTCCAAAACATTTTCTAAGTCAACCTAGCTAGATTGCTTGTGGCTCGTAACTTTAGTGATTTGTCTCACCTCTATGGCATGTACAGGTTGCCCAAAAAATCATTGCATCAAAGAAAATTTCTCTCGTTAACATATAAAAAGCAAGAAGGAAAATGACATGTATACTTTCGGACCTCAATCTTTCATTTTGGTCCCTCTATATGTCATTTTCCCCAAGAAATTGGAACTTATTTGAATGTCTCATGTCTGCAATATAGAAGACAGATCTATAACAGTAACAAGGTTGATAAATGGAATAAGTAAAACAAGGTATGAGAAAACAAAATTGGATATATCTCCGGCCAAAAGAAAAAAAAGGATACATCACATTCATAGATATAATCAAAGAAAGAAATTCTAGTTTGATGTATGACAGAATTTTTTGGCTTACTATGTTTAAGAAAAAGCCTCTTTAATTTGCTCACTTTAGCAAGAATTTCCACACATAAGAGTCCTGGGAATCAACAGATGCCATCAGAAACAAATTTTGAGGTACTCTGCGTTGAACACTTGATTTTGAGTGCATGTAACACAACTTTTTCTTTTTCTATATAAAATGATCTAGCAGAGACTACCTATATGATATTTTGTCAGTAGTTGATTCAGAATTCTTTCTCTGTGTTAATCTCCAAAAATGCGCTGAACTGAACTTGGACAAGTGGCATCCATTAGAGGAGATAGTGCAGTGCATTCTGCATAAGCAATAAGTTAATCATTTTGTTTCTTTCTTTACTGCTGATTACTTTCCAAATCGAACTTCTGAGGCTTGCCTTCAAAACCCTAGTGGGACAAACCCCAAAATCAAGACCAGATTTATGAAAAAGGGGAATCTTTGCAGAATGATTTCATTTATGAGATATGCTTAAATTAAGACTCCTCAAACTTTCAGGAACTTATTCCAAGGTTGTTTTCTGCCACTTCCACTGAATTGTCCTCTGTTTGGATGTCAATGTAAATGTGCAGTTGAGTCAAAGGAATTCTAGGACTGGAAAGTTGAAAGGATACAAACAAACAAACACACTTTAGACCCGCCAAAGTGCATCAATTTCTTTAATCAACCATTCTTGCACTTTGACTTGTTCTTGATTTATGGAAAAAAATTGTGTTGAAAAATTTGTCTTTTCTTCTGTTTTGTTCCCATGTGTTTGGGCAGCTTCGCAGTCCAACACTGTTGAAGTCCTTAGCTGCTTCCACACCTGAAAACCCCGAGGTTGTTTCCTCAGGGAAAACACTCCGACGCTCAAGTCAGCAATACTCAATATTCTAGAGAGAGATGCTCTCAAGGAGTAATTGCAGAGAGAGAAGCGTAGAGATTAATTACCTTCTTCGGAGGTGGTTGGGGGGTATTTATAGCCCCAAGTGCTGACATGTATTTGCACATGTAAGCCTCTCATTGGCCCACGTGGGTATGTCTCCTCCTCTTGGGCCTATGGGTGCGTAGTTGGGCCTGCTGCATGTGGCCCTAAGAGGGCGTTGGGCCTAATCCCAACATTACTCCCCCCTCGGTGTTCGGTTGACGAACTGGGTTGGGAGTCTTGTTAGCACGGTGTTTGACCTTGAGGATGAAGAGTGATGTTTTATGTTCATGTCCGCCCTCACGCACGACCAATCTAGGCGGCCTGAAGCCATCGCGGCCAAGTCTGTTGTGCATGTGTATGCCGGCTTCCTATCGAGCAGGCGTGGGGGAGCTGGTGTTAAAACCAGGCGAGCTCGGTGCATGTGTTTTAGGCCATATCTGAGGTAAAAATGCATGACACAGAGTCATGTGTTATAGCTGTAGCTGAAGTGAAATAGATGACTCGGGGTCACTATGGTCGGAGCCGAAGTGAAGCATGTGACACTGGATCACTGTGGCTTGAGCCGAAGTAAAAAGTGTGACGCTAGGTCACAATGGCCGGAGCCGAAGTAAAATATGTGACTCGGGGTCACTATGGCCGGAGCCGAAGTAGAACTAGTGACTTGGTGTCACAATGGCCGGAGCTGAGGTAAATAATGATGACCGGAGTCATAGCGGCTGGAGCCGAGGCATTATGACCTAGAGCCAGGAAACTGAGGTGACGACCTGAAACCAGGAAGCTCAAGAGTGACGACCTGGAAGTATGAAGCTCAGTAGTGACGACCTGGAACCAGGAAGCTCAGGAGTGACGACCTGAAACCAGGAAGCTCGGTAGTGACGACCTGGAAGCAGGAAACTAAGGAGTGACGACCTGGAAGCAAGAAGCTCAGGAGTGACGACCTGAAACCAGGAAGCTCGGGAGTGACGACCTGGAAGCATGAAGCTCAGAAGTGACGACCTGGAAGCAGGAAGCTCAGTAGTGACAACCTGGAAGCAGGAAGCTCAGTAGTGACGACCTCGAACCAGTAAGCTCAGGAGTGACGACCTGGAACTAGGAAGCTCGGGAGTGACGACCTGGAAGCAGGAAGCTCAGAAGTGACGACTTGGAACCAGTAAGCTCAGTAGTGACGACCTGGAACCAGTAAGCTCAGTAGTGACGACCTGGAACCAGTAAACTCAAGAGTGACGACCTGAAACCAGGAAGCTCAGTAGTGACGACCTGGAACCAGTAAACTCAAGAGTGACGACCTGAAACCAGGAAGCTCAGTAGTGACGACCTGGAACCAGTAAACTTAGGAGTGACGACCTGGAACCAGTAAACTCAAGAGTGATGACCTGGAACCAGGAAGCTCAGTAGTGACGACCTGGAACCAGTAAACTCAGGAGTGACGACCTGGAAGCAGGAAGCTCCGGAGTGACGACCTGGAACCAGGAAACTGATGAGTAATGACCTGGAACCAAGAAACTGATGAGTAACGACCTGGAACCAGGAAACTGATGAGTGACGACCTGGAAAACCAGGAAGCTCAGGAGTGACGACCTGGAAGCAGGAAACT